TGGGTAACACCGCCTTGGACAGGAGGCTTCTGGGTGTGAGACCCTGTCCACTGCCTGTGTTTGGATGGTTTGAGTCATCCTTTGTCACAGTTCCCCTTCTCTGCATGCATTTACAGTGAGGTAGAGGGGAAAGAACACTGGCTTTGGTGTTACACATACCTGGGTTTGGATTTGAGCTCACTACTCACTAGCTTTGTGACCATGGGTAAGTTTCTTTCCTTCCCTGAGCTTCAGTTTCTTCATCTAGAAAATGGGGTAATAGTTCCTACCTCCTATTACACATTGAATCAGATCCAAGCTACTTCAATGCTCTTTAAGACTTGTGTCTTTGTACTTAGGATACCTCTGCTCTGGCCTGTTCTTAAAATATTTGGGTGCTTGTAGTCCCCCCAGTGCTTCTCAGCAAATATCCTATAGGGTCTCATCTTTATGCCTTTGGCCATTTGGGCCTGTCTGCCTGGAATTCTTTCCCTCCACCTCCTTGACTGATTAACGTCTGGGTCCTAGGAGGTTAAGAATTAGAATTGTATTACAGCTGAAGAAACTGGGGCTCAGAGAACTTAACTAACTTTCTCCAAATCACAAGCTAGTAAATGGAAGAGCTGGGATTTGAATACATGTCCTTCTGGCTTAATAGCTTGGGATTTTCCCACTAGGTCACATGGCCTTCCTTGGAACACCTCACAAGGGGTTAGAATCCAAGGAGGGAGAGAAAAGAGAGTCTGAGCTTGCAGCAGTGATGCCAATGAAGGCTCTCAGCATACCCCTGGCTGCTGTGGCCAGGAACATACACACAAGTTACACCTAAGAAGTCATCTGGCTTTGCCAGCTGGAGGCTGTACCTTCAGTTCATTTTTGATTGTGGTCTGTGGAATCATTTTCTAAAGTGTGAGGCCCACATTGATGCAAACAAGTCAGTTGGAGGCTTTGTGCATCAAGCAACTCTTCTAGGTCAGCTGAAGGTCAGCCATGAAGGCACTGCCACCCCAGGGATAGGTTTCGGAGATACCCTGGCATAGCAGGAAAAGGTGGTGCTTTGGGTGCTATCGTGACCCCGTGGAACTCACAGATGTCCCCCATCAGATGTTCAGAAATTTGTATCACAGTTCAGGTTTGTAGCAAGAGGAGAAGCTAAAAATGCCTTTGCCTCTTATGGCAACAGCATGAAATTGGGAGTTCTTGCCGGCCACTACAGTCCTGCCCCTTCCCTGTCACCCTTTTACATGTTGTATGACTCTGTCCTTCTCTCTTTTTCTACATGCACACACATACCTCTTGCCATATTCCAGAGTTGGTATGGGTAGCGGCATTGTAAGGGAGAGAGGGGCATGGAAGAAATAAATCTGAGGGAATGGATTTCCCTTGCAGCCTTCCATAAAGAAAGTGAGGCATTCCCTTCACCTCTCAGGACCTCAGTTAACTCATCAATAATATGAGGCTGATGGAACTCTTAAGGTTGTAAATAGAATGAAAGATAATTTTCATCAATTGCCTATTTCAGTATCTGGCATGGAATAGGTGTTCAGTAAATGATATTTTATCCTAATGTGAAAATTCTCTAGGCAATGTAACCATGATTGGTGTTTAATCCTAGTCCAGTGTGAACTGTTTAAATAGTTATAAAATCTCAAATAATCCTGACAAGATGTCTTATACATGCGATGAATGCTGAAGCAGTCCTTTATTTTGCTCAGCAGGGGTTTGGCCTGAATAACAGCTGATGACCTGGAGTCTCAGCATGCATCTCTGGTTGGTTTCCATCCTTTCAGGATGAAACCAGTATATCCTTGCTCTTCTACACTGGTCCGATGTGCCTCACTGTTTCGCTGTCTCAATTAAAAGGCTGTTTTTTCTCATTTCTCTTTGGATTTTACATGTGGGGTTTATCCTCGCCATCTGGTGGTCATGGTTGATACACATTGATATTCTCTCTCCTTTCACGGTTTCATCAAGAAGCTCTTGCAACAAAGACACCGACCTTAGGGAGCCTTGAGGAAACCAGGCCTGAGCCCAATTCCAGGGAACTCCATCCATTGAGGAGGGTGGAGTCTCCACACCCAAGAGACTCTCAAAGACCTGAGTACATCAAGATCTGATTATTCCAGTGGCGGATTACTCATTCCCTTGGCTTTTCTTCCACTGGTTTTTCTTCAGTGGCTTGGGTGAAAAATGGACCTCATCATTCTCTCCCAGCTCTGCCCACTATGGTCCTAAGGCAAGGATCACAAACCTCAATGCTTTTAGGGGCCCTACAGGTAACATAAATGGCAGGGTACAGATGGGTAAACTGAAGAACCCATTTTATGCATAAAGGCATCACATTCATAAATTAAATAAGTAAACCAACCAACTAACCACTGTCCAAGCCAACTGGCTCATTGGTCAGATTTATCTCAGGGTCTTAGAGTTTGTAATTTTTGTCCTAAGGGTTTTTCATTTCCTGTTTAGCTCAGTCTGAAAATCCAGTCCTGGAAGAGCTGTATTATCCCTGCCTCTCAGACAACCCCTATTGCCTTTGTAGAATCCTCAGCAAGGGGTTAAGTTTCCCAAGTTGAATGCCTCAGCAAGGGAGCCCACTACTCCAGTTCATCCACAGGCATTTCATGAGCAGGGGCCACAGCCAGGCACAGTGGTAATCAAGGGTGATGTGGTCCCTGCCTTGTGGATCCCACTGTGTTAGGGGGATAAGATGGCCTGATAGCTCTGTCCTCATAAGGCTCATCCTAACACGAAACCCAAAGATGTCCCCTGTGGGCTGGTCCAGGGTTCTAGACCTTCCCTTGTGAGTCTCACAGAGTAAAACCAAGCCCATTCACAAGATAATGCCCCTTCAGGCTTTCAAAGACACCTTCACTTCCCTCTTGACTTACTTTCCCTTGAAGGTTGGAGGGGCATCAAATCATCTGATTTTGTCATTTCTCATCTCCCACATCTGCTCCATTATCAAGAACAATTGATTCTATATCCTAGAGGTGTCTGTAATTCATCTTCTCTCCATCTCCACTGCCACCATCCTAGGCCTCATCACCAGGATCTTGCCTGGGCTCTTTTAGGGTCTCCTGCCTGGCTTTTTGTCTCATGATCATCCTATCCACTCTCTATCAGCAGCCAATTGACTAGGTTACACTTAAAACTTCCAAAGGCTCCCATTCTATGTGGAAGTGATCATTGCCCATGGAGCTTGACCATTAGGCTCTGTCTAGGGTTTCCCTTCACAGCACTCACCATACGACCCTTCCTCCTCCTAGTGGTCCAAATAGTGCCTAGTGCCTCCTGCCACCAACACTCATGCTCCCCACAGCAGTCATATCAACATGGTACTATTTGGAAATAGGGTCTTTGCAGGGGTAATTAAGATGAGGTCGTACTGAGTTTTGGTGAGCCCTAAATCTATGAGGTGTTCTTAAAAGGAGAGCACTCTTGTCCTTTTAAGAAGGGCTGTGTGAAGATGGAGAGAAAAATTAGAGCCAAGTGGCCACAGCCAAGCAACTCCTGGGCCTAACAGAAGCTGAAAAAGGCAAGGAGGGATTCTCCCCCAGACCCTCTGGAGAGGGCATGAGACTCCCAGCACCTTAATGTCAGACTTCTAGACTGCCTTCATAATGTAGTAAGAAAAACAGTTTTAAGTAAAAAGAGCATTTCTGAGCATTTGCTACATGCTAGGCAATGGGCTAAGAAGATATATACACACATATGTATGTATATGTGCATATATGTATATAGATATAGATATATATAAATCTACACATATGTGTCACACATATATGCACACACACGTATATATACATATATTTTATTGTTATTATTTTTAATTGTGGTAAAATGCATATAACATACAGTTTACCATCTTGACCATTTTTTTTTTTTTTTGAGATGGGAGTCTCACTCTGTCACCCAGGCTGGAGTGCAGGGGCATGATCTCGACTCATTGCAACCTCTGTTCCCCAGGTTCAAGTAATTCTTCTGCCTCAGCCTCCCAAGTAGCTGGGATTACAGGTACCTGCCCTGACGCTCAGCTAAATTTTGTATTTTTTAGTAGAGATGGGGTTTCTCCATCTTGGCCAGACTGGTCTTCAGCTCCCGACCTCGTGGTCCACCCGCCTCAGCCTCCCAAAGTGCTGGGATTATAGGTGTGAGCCACTGCACCCGGCCATCTTGACCATTTTTAAGTGTACAGTTTAGTGGCATTATAGTACAGTATAGTCACATTGTTGTGCAACCATCTATCTCTGGAACTCTTGTGATCTTGCAAAACTGAAATTCTGCACCCATGAAACAATAACTCCCATTCTCCCCTCCCTCCAGCCCTTGGCAACCACCATTCTCCTTTTCATCTCTATGAATTTGACCACTCTAGGTACCTTACATAAGTGGTATAATATAGTATTTATTTTTTGTGACTGGCCCACTTTACTTAGCATAATGTATTCACAATTCATCCATTGCTGTAGCATGCATCAGAATTCCCTTCTTTTTAAAGCCTGAACAATATTCCACTTTATGTATATATCACATTTTGTTTATCTATTCGTCCATCAATGGACCCTTGGGGCTGCTTCAATGGACCCTTGGGGCTGCTTTTTGGCTATTGTAAATAATGCTTCTAGATATACAAATATCTCTTTGAGACCCTTCTTTCAATTATTTTGGGTATATACCCAGAAGTGAAATTTTTGTGTGTATATATATATACATACATACACATACACACACATAGATATACATATATATATACACACACACATACATATATGCATATGCACATAAAACTTTAAAATTCCAATTTAGTCTTTCAATGGAGACCTTATTATATCCATCTTGTAGATGAGATGCCTGAGGTTGGGAGGCCATGTGTAAATTTCATAGTGCTAGGCAGTTTCTCCATTCTCATGCACTTACATGATGACAGTGAAATTCTCCCAGAGCTTGGGATCAATGTGAACAACTGCACATCACCCACCACCACCCTTTCTCACTGGCTAGACCAGCCCCTGGCTCACCTCATTGTCTCGGTCCTTCTCTAGGAAATGGCGGGCCACATGGCTGGGTAAGATATTCCGGAGCATGTTCTCATTGTGTTCCCTCAGCTCCTTCATCTCATTGATCTCCTCTTTGGCCTGCACTCGCCAAAGGAAGTCCAGGCGGGCTGTGTACTCCAGCTGTAGTACATGTGAGAGAAAGAGAAGAACCAGGTAAACTGAGGTGTAGGCTTCAGGTACACACAACTGGGAGGCAGGAAAGGCTTCTCTGGAACTCTTCACAAATGAAACAGAGCCTGATCTGAATATTTTGGGAGGCATCTTGTTGGAAGCCAAGTGATCAGAGAATGATTAGGTTTCACAGGGATGTGTGCCTGCCTTTCACAGCATTATTGCCCCTGTGATTTCATACTTGTTTGTGTGATTACCTGATAATGTTGGCGTCCTCTACTAGACTGTTGGTGTTGTTTGGTGTATTAGTCCATTCTTGTGCTGCTAATAAAAACATACCTGAGACTGGGTAATTTATAAAGAAAGAAGTTTAATGGACTTACAGTTCCACATGGCTGAGGAGGCCTCACAATCATGGTGGAAGATGAAGGAAGGGCAAAGGAACCTCTTACATGGCAAGAGGCAAGAGAGAGCTTGTGCAGGGGAACTCCCATTTATAAAACCATCAGATCTCACGAAACGTATTCGCTACCATGAGAACAGTATGGGGGAAACTGCCCCAATGGTTCCATTATCTCTGCCTGGCCCCATCCTTGACATGTGAGGATTATTACAATTCAGGGTGAGATTTGGGTTGGAACACAGCCAAACCATATCATATGGTCAGAGGTGCTTCTATCTATTCGACTTTACATCCTTACTGTTACAGACTGAATGTCTGTGTCCCTCTCAAATTCATATATTGGAGCCCTAACCCCCAATGTGATGGCATTTAGAGATGAAACCTTCAGGATGTAATTAGGGTCGATGAGGTCATGATGGTGTATCCATCAGGATGAGATTATTGCCCTTATAGGAAGAGACATGCAAACACTCGCTCTTTCTCTCTCCACATGCACACACTAAGAAAAGGCCAGGTGGGGATACAGCAAGCAGGTAGCCAGCCATCTGCAAGCCGGAAAAGAGCCTTCATCAGAAAACAAACCTTTCCAGACCTTGACCTTGGACTTCTCAGCCTCCAGAACCACAAGATAAATTTCTGTTGTTTAATACACTCAGTCTATGATATATTGTTATGTACAACAGCTGGAGATATGAATACACTTACCATGTTGTAACATCTCTGGCACAGGGCAGGCACTTAATATTTGTTGACTCAATAAATAAATCATAATAAAGCTAGCTAACACTTACGTGGTGCTTATCATATACCAGGAATGGTTCTAAACAATATACATGTATTAAATCCTTTAATCCATACAATAGCCCTAATAGGAAGGTATTATTATCATTTCTTATTTACAGATAAAAAAATCAAAGCAAACATGAATTAGTAACTTGACTAAGATCACATATGAGTTAGTGGAAGCCAGGATTTGAACTTGATTCAAAAATCAGAATATAGAATCTGAGTTGTAACCACTAGGTAATATAGAATAAATGAAAGAACTCATAAGTGAAAGGATTACAGATTTAGTTACCAGACAGATATAGCTTAGAGTTCTAGTTCCACAGTTACACACTTTAACCCTGGACTAGTTACTTCATCTCAGTTTCCTCCTCTCTGAAATTGATGTGAACATCAGTGACCCTGCAGGGGTGGAACAGGCATTATAGGAAGTTATAGATAAACACATGGCACATAGTAGGCACTCAATATACATTGGTTCCCTCTTGTCCTAGCCTCTCCTCTCATAAGAAGGTGCACAGTGTCCTTTCCAAAGGATCTCACAGCCCGTTTTTACTGCAGTTCTGGGTATGTCCTTATTTCAGTCTTTAACTGTTGATGTGAACAGCATGCTGCCCGGGTACACACATGGTTAGCTGCCCTGATTTCAAGGGCTTAGATAGTTCAGATAGCTTATTTTCTTTTTTAAAAATGTTAAAGTCTCAGTGGATGGCAAAAGTATGAAAAGACCATATGCCCAAGGTTATTCATTCAGCAGAATTTTTAATAACAAAGGCTGAAAACCAAATGTTCGTTTTGTTGGCTGAATAAACTTTAGTACAGAAATATCATTGAACATGATGCAGCTATTAAAAAGAAATGAAGACTATCTCTCCATACTTTGAGGAACTGGTCTCCAAGAGGAGAAAAGTGTATATAGTATGCTACCATTTATCTAAGGAAGATCGATCTTTCTATCCACATACATGCACACACACATATTTCTTAATTAATTTATTAAAATATTAAAATAGAAACCATTTTACATTTTATAAAATGGTTTCTATTTTAATCTATGAAATGACAAAGGAAGAGAATGGTGTGGGAAAATAGGGATAGAATTTAAACTTCTTTAATTATGTCTCGTTTTAAGTAAATAACTATAGAATCATTCCAATATTTTACTTAATTATCAAACTAAATCTATTCTCAAAAAACTCTGTAAAAACAACCAACCAAGCAGACAAACAAATGAGCCTACACAGAGAGGAACTATATCAGATGTCGTTTTGCACAATAATTTGATGACATGCTCCCAGAGGGAAATACCCTAAGGATAAAAAGAGCGCAACACGAATGTCAAAACTGTTTACAATAACCATATTATAGGTGGTAACAAGTGTATTATTGTACTTAGACTATTATAGTGAATCACAAGATAAAGTAAATGAGTAACTGTGTAGGTGTTATTAAAACTGGAATTTTGGGGAAGAGAAAAGGGAGCTGCAGATATAAGATTGATGAAGTTGAGTCAAAAGTTTGTGGTCCTCATTATGACATCGAAGTATCACACTGTGAACTCACGATGTATAGATTTTCTAGCTCTGCCCACTGAAATCAAGTTCTAGAAACAACGAAACTTAGTAGCAATAACTCCCAGTGTCCAGATTATGGTTTCTACATATCAGTTCCTAGAAAAAAATTCCCATTCTTTTCAGAGGTGCCCAAATTTTAGGTACCTTTAATTATGTCTTGTTTTAAGTAAATGACTTTATTGGAAGACTTTTTAACGTGAGAAACCAGGATTCTATCAGAGACTACCAGGATTATGTCAAAACGATGCAAAAGCCAACTTGAATGAGCTCCCACTAGTCAAAGATGTGACACATTTAGCTTAATAAGACTAATAATTGCAATGAATCAAAACACAGAGAATATGGTAAAATGCATAGATTCAAAATTACGCTTAAAAACTAGAACCTCATTGGTCACCTCTGAATGATGCTAGGGAAAAAACTTATGGGGGAATCTTATAGAAAACAAACTTGTAGGGAAAAAATTCAGCATTTATCTTTGCTTGATGAATTGTACTTCCAGGTAACAAATAGTGAGGAGATGGTTCTCTTTAATAATGTATGGCAGTTAATAAATTATGGAGGACTGATAGGATTAGCATATCACTGTATAAAATAAGTGAATATAGGCGATTAGCATAAGCAACTGCTAACATCACAAAAAGATAAGGAGACATTATGTACCCCCTAATTGTAGTCTATAAAACTAACCAATTAAATATTTTGCAGAAATCATTGAACCTGAATCCCACCAGGCTTCTAGACATAAATACAGTACAAACAAAACAGAACAAAAACAAAGGACAGGGGAGTCTCTTAAATGCCTTAGAGAATGCAATCAATAAACTGTAAGAAAGAAATGACAGCTCTGGAAGGTTGAGTCTCTCAAGATCACCCATTCTTGAAGTGGAATTGCTAAAACTCAAGCAAGAATATTTGGTTCCAAGGCTTGAGTCTTTTCTTCTGAACCCCACAATATCCGGTTCCTGCCTTTATCACACCCAGAAGTTACTAGAGATAGGACCTCATTTATCTCTTTCTCCTTGTGGAGGCGTGGCTTCCTCTGCTAAAAACGAAGATGCCCAGGCAAAGCTCAAACCTCCAGGGCTGCTAGTGAATCAGGCACCTGGTGGGAGGCACCCGATTGTTTGCTCTCTCTGTTCAACGTAGAGAATGTTCACTTGCCTCAGAGGAGGAAGAATTTGGCATATCATTTCCACATATATGCAAGATGAAAATTTCCAATTATTCAGTTACATAACCACCTCCGTTTCTCTGGAGATGTTTAATTACACATGCCCCCACCAGACGCTTCTGCGTACCCGGCATCAATGGGCATTATTCAGCCCCTATTAAAACTAGAGGGCCTCTGAGTCACAAGGAGAAACCGGTGGAAACAGGGAGCAAGCCCAGGAGTGGGTAGGCTTGATCAAAGATTAACAGGACCCCAAATGATGCTACAGATAGAGACACTTGAAGTGAGACAACCCTGCAGAAAGCCGCCCCTATCACAGGGAGGCAGTGGCACGTGGAGGAAACAGAATCGAACTAGGAGTTTGAGCATTTGGATTCCTGTTCCAGTCTGGCTTTTTTTACAGGCTTTGTGACCTCAGGGGACTTCAATCTCTGCTCCTGTCTTAGGACCAGATGGCTAACAATACCTGCCTTGTTTGTGTCATCGGCTTATTTTTAAAGTAAAACATTACTAGCTATCAATTTTGAAAATTTATTATATGTGAGAGCCACTGGAATAAGTATGTTACAATTATATTCTCATATAACACCCTAACAACCCGATGAAGTAGAACTTGTTATTATCATACCCATTTTACAGGTGAGGAAATTGAAAATCAGAAAGTTAAGTAAATTGTTGAAAGTCACATAGCTACTAAGTGGCAGAGTTGGGGTTTGAATACTATCTGCCCAATTCCAAAGCCTGTACTTGTAACTGCTATAGTTATGAGATGTGATTATATAATTTCAAAACCCTTTGAAAGTTAAAAATGAAAGGGAAAAATATCAGATGTCACTTAAACCCAGTCACTCAGACTCTCACTAAATAGTTACATACTCGTACTTTACCTACAATCTTAATACAATTAGGTTATCTACTTTTCCAGGATAAACGGAGCATAGGATAAATCAAATCTGAATGTTATTAGGGTACCACTTGAGGAAGGCACTGACAGGGCACAAAGTAATTCCCTAAGGTGACAGAAGAGACAGAACCAGTCTTCTTTTTATGGAATGACGACCCTCACCCAGAACTTGTTCTCTCAGCTATTTCCGGGGATTTCTCACTTGTCAATTTAAAACCTGTGTAATTGAGCGAGCATATGTTTGTCTGTAGGATGATGGACTCGTCTGAATCTGTCTTCATAGTTCTCAAATGGATTGTCATTTGTATTTCAGACTAAGCCATTCTCCCCTAGAAATGAAAGCTGTCAAGTAGCAGAAGACAAGACCCCAGACCTCATAGATGGCTGGAAAGACCTAAAAACAGGAATTCTAGAAATGGCTAGCCTTTGACATTTGGCCTAGTGTTTCATCATAAATTCAGGCAAAATGGGAAAACAAGTGAAAGCATATTGCAGGATGCAGTGCCCTGGGTCACTGTGTTCATATGCACACAGCGTCTTTGTTCTGCTCTGATCAGCCTAGTGAAGTAGAAAGGGTAGGCTTTGAAGACAGATCAGGATTTGGATTCTAGTCTTCCTGCTTACTAGCTGAATAGCCTTACTTTCACCATCCATAAAACAGGAGTAATAATAACTTCCATTCCAGGTTGTTGATAGGATTAAACGAGAGTAGAGAGAAAATGCTAGGCACATAGTAGGAACTCAATAAGTATTAATTATTTATTCATTTCCTTCACTTGCCAAGTTTTAATATTATCTATTTTTTTCTTACCTATACTGTACAATCCCCATTATTACAAATAACTTTAAATACGTATCTCTATGTTCTTGGGGTTTTGGGTTGTTTCATTCCTGTTTTCTCAGGGTTCGTTACCTGTTTCCATGGTGATTTCCCAGCAATGTGTTTCTATTTCTGCCCTGGCTGACAGTCTCCTTGCTGTGCTTTCCTTCTTTTCTGGTTATGGTTTTTGAAGTACACACAGACCACAGAAAGATGGACCAAGACCCAGACAGGAGTGGTGAGGGAGGCAGGGCCTGATTTCTACCAGGCGGTGAAAATCTCCCCAGGCGACGAACATTCATGGGTTGAAGTCTACCTGAAGAAGTTCTACTGGCCTTTGAGAGTCCTGCCTAGATGCTCCCATGAAGAATAATTTTCTTTCTCGAAGTCCCTAGCCAAGTCTGTTTCACACACAACATGTTTGCTTTATTTGGGGTCAGCTCTACTCCAGGAGACTGGACCAGAGCCGGGGTTTTGTACAGTTCTGCCCACAGTGCCCACTCCTGATTCTGGTAAAGAGTAAGGGCTCATGGAAGGTGGAACCCATATGGCAGGTATTGTATATAATTAGGACAGATCTGTAATGCAGTCTTTTCTAGAAACAATGCAAGTTAGTGCACAAAATTCTACATACAATAATCTCAAATGCTTCCTCAAGACAGCCCTATTTAGATATTACTAATTTATTTTAGAGTTGAGGAAACTGAGGCTCACAGAGATAAGTAACCTGCCCAAGATCACACACTGCTGAGAGTAAGAACTGTGATTAGAATCCAGGCTCAGCTGAACCTAAATGTTTACCTAATATAGTACACAACTTCTGTAGTAATAATTTCATCCCGGCAACAGAATTGGGAGAGATCCCAGTTTGTCTTAGGCAGAAATCGAAAGCTCTTTCACTAGGATGATTTTTTGAAAGAGATATATCCAAAGGTCCTCAAAACCACATTGTTTGCCAGATCTTCTCCAGCTTTGTTTTTCATTACGTGGTCTTTATTAGGAATTGATTCATTAAGAATCACAACTTGCCACAGGCAGCTAAAAGTTATTTGCTGCAAAGAGCAGCAGAGACCAGTTTTATGGCAACAAGAAATGTCGGGTAACAGAGCAGTCAGAGCAAAATGTTAGATTACCTGCTGTCCATGGTAGAACACAGCCAGGAGGAACATGGCCATCAGCAGCAGTGACGCCTCCTTGGTCCCCAGGAAATCTCTGTTGGAAGAAAAAAAGGCACTGATAACCATGGGGGGACTTCAAGGAGACCCATGAGAAAACTGAGGTTCAGAAATGAGTGGTAAAAAAAGAAAAACACACATCTTTTCAGCACCTATTATGTGATAGTGGCTGCTCTAAGGGTTTGCACATTGGCTAATTCAGAAACCAGTTGATCCCAAAGGTATGAGGTGACCCAGAACATATACGGTGAAAGAGATTCTAGAGTCTAGCATCCAGATGGTACACTCACATTAATAATAATGTCTTCTATCTTCTATGTGCAAAACACATTTTATAGATTTTAAATAGCCTTTATACTTTCCTATCACAAAATCCATGTGAAGACAAGCAACTTTCCTCCACACATTTTTAAACATTCTATTTAACAGACCAGGGTGTAATGCTTGCTATGTGGCAATCTCAATTCTTAGTGCTTTCATGCTTAAATCCTTATATTAATTCTATGAATTGGAACACTATTTTAATTCCCATATCAGTTTTCTTAATCCTTATACCAGTTCTGTAAGTTGGGGACTGTTGTTTCCCCCTTTTAATTATTATATCTTTTGATAAAGCCTTTGTTTCTTTTGTGCCCTCTCTTCCTTGAGCAAACCCCAAGTCTCAATGTGCAGTTTTTGTCAGGGCACAGGCTGGAGTGCTTCTGTCCTGGGCTCTCCCGGGCTCTCTAGGAGACCACACGGAAAGGTGGCTGATGATGGTCAGTGGTAAGGGTATACTTAAACACTGATGTGACTTTCAGACTTCAAAGGAATTCAGAAGGTGGCCAGAGAAGCTGCTGTTTGATTCAGAATGCTTTCTTTCATTTTGGTTCAGTGTGAGGCCTTCCTCAGGACAAGCTGGAGGCCAGGAGGCAAAGGGTTAGTGGAAGCAACATTGGAACTGGAAATAAACTGTCCCTTTGAAAATGCCCAAGTAGGCCGGGCGCGGTGGCTCAAGCCTGTAATCCCAGCACTTTGGGAGGCCGAGACGGGCGGATCACGAGGTCAGGAGATCGAGACCATCCTGGCTAATACAGTGAAACCCTGTCTCTACTAAAAAATACAAAAAAAAATAGCCGGGTGAGGTGGCGGGCGCCTGTAGTCCCAGCTATAGGGAGGCTGAGGCAGGAGAATGGCACAAACCCGGGAGGCGGAGCTTGCAGTGAGCTGCGATCCGGCCACTGCACTCCAGCCTGGGCGACAGCGCGAGACTCCCTCTCAAAAAAAAAAAAAAAAAAAAAAAAAAAAAGAAAAAAAAGAAAATGCCCAAGTACAACCATCTCCATGGATGTCGGGACTTGCCTTACATCACCTGGTGTCCTATTTCCCCCAGGTTTTTCCATCTCAGGTAATGCCCCTTCATCTATTCACCCAGGTGCTTAAGCCAAAAGCCAAAACAAAACTAGGATTCAATCCTCATCACCTCAGCCCCATCTAACCCATAGTTAAATTCTGCACCCTCTACCACCAAAATACATCCCCAGTCCATCTGCTTCTTCTCATGTCCCCCTCCACCACCTGAACATGGCCACTATGATCTCCAACAGCCTCCCAATATCACTGTCTACAGTTTATTTTGTACATGGTTGCCAGAATACTTTTTACTACTAAAACCAGATCATGCTGCTCCCTTGTTTAATCTCTTCCCAACCACAAGCACAGATGTACTTGGAACTCACTCAGAAGTAACTCTGGTGTGGCTTAAGGAAACAATGGAGCCATCACAGATGAGACGCAGTGTCTAGAGGGAGAAGTAGAGTACGCAGCAAGGTGTTATACCACGGAAATCTCAAGTTTTCCCTTTTCTGTTCTTGCCGGAGACCAGCAGAAACAGCCCAGGGTCAGGGAAATGGGGGCTTAGCACCAGCTGCCAAGACCAGCTTTTCGTCTAGCTTTATGCTAAAAAACCTTCCCAGCTTATACTGGGCCGGGCACAGTTCAACTCATCAGGATTGGACAGGGACTTAGGAGTGAAAATGTACATTCTTAGGGAGGTATTATACATATGAGGATTAAGAGAACCAAATAACTCTGTGGGCTGGGACAAGAGTCAAATCTGTGAATACCTTGGAGAAAAGATGCTAACAATAGATGATACTAATTATCATGCGTCTGTAGCCCCAGAGAAGCACATAATTATTGAGCATCTACTGTGTGCCAGGCATAATATTCTGGGATGTAGAGATGAAGAAGGCACATTGTCTCTGTCCTCGAAATATTAAGAGAAATAATCAAATACACAGATAATTTTATAATATGATACACTCCATGGAAAGGGTACATCCTTGTTGCAATAGGAATACATGGCAAAAAAAGCAACCCAGGCCGGGTGTTCAGGGAAGGCTGAAGAGCTGAATCCTAAAAGATAAGACTTCACAAGGAAAAGGTAGGAGGGGTTCTCTAGGTACAGGACATCTATTTTGCTTAGCTTGCTGGTTTATAGGTCTCTAGTATGGGGATAAAAAATAAATGTCATATATCATGTTTGAAGCCACATGTAGACTCAGGAGGAGAGAGTGCTAACAGAGCTGTCCACTGTGAGTGCTAAAGTGAAGAGGGCTGGACTATGAGCCACACATTGTCACCCTGCATTTCAGGGCTGAGGAATCATCCATCTATCCATGAATCCATGAATCCATGAGTCCATGAATCCATGAATCCATCCATCCATCCATCCATCCATCCATCCATCCATCCATCCATCCTTCCATCCTTCCATCCTTCCATCCATCCATCCATCCATCCATCCATCCTTCCATCCATCCATCCTTCCATCCTTTGTTCCATTCTTCCAGCCATCTACAGTCACCATCAGGCTTATTTTGAGGACATAAACACAATCCAGTACCATCCTTTTATTCTTTCATGTCACTTAATTCTCTAGCCTCTGAAGTTTGTGGACTCCTGAAAAAAGATGAAAGACATATATGAGGTTTGGACTCATGAAGATCCAGGTTCCAATATCAGCTTTTCTATTGACCAGTTGTTTGACCTTGGAAAAGTCATTTGACATCTCTGAGCCTCAGTTGAATGTATCTAATAGCGTTCACCTCTATAATTGTGAGGATTAAATGAGTTAATCATGGTAACGTGCTTGGCACAGTGTCTGGCCCACATTTCCCCCTTGCCACCCTGTGAAGCAATTGGCACATCATCTTGCTCATGGCAGTGGAGCTTTAAAAAGTCACTCGCTTACATTGCTTAGTTTGAATGAGCACGTCCTACGTTCAGCTCCTCCTGTGACTTCTTCCCAAACCCCTGCTCTGCCTGGCACTTTGGATATCCTTTGCTTTGCCATACAGAAGATGTTTTTTAAGCCCAGAAATTTATCATTTGAAACGCATTTTCAAGAGAAAACACAAATACCTCTTGAATTATTTTGAAAGCAGTGATTGAACAAAAATAGAAAGATGACTAAACTCAGAAGAAAAAGTAAAAGAAAATTATGAACAATCTTTGAGTCATTCACTGAATTTCAGATGGGGAAAAATAGCCTGAGCAGAGACTGCAGAATATGATAGTAAGTCAGCCAGGCTGAGGAGCATCCCAAAGGAACTGTGGTTTGAAATTAGAAAGTTGTTTTTTTTTTTTTTTTTTTTTGTAGTTTCAATGATTCCTTAAAGAACTTCCAAAGAGAGCCAAATGACTGAAATCTTTACTGTATTATAATGCTTCGCTGATATTGGTTGTCAGGGACTTAAAACCAAGAACATGTTGAACTAATTTATTTGAATTAATAAAATCACTGAGTCAATACTACCATCTCTTTATGCTAATAGAAAGGAACATTCTTAAGTGAAAACCCATGTAGCATAATGTAATTTTCAGGGCTATAACAGTCTTTAGAGATCATCTTATCTGATGTATCACAAAAATTAATATTTGAGTGTTATGCATTACATAAATATTTATGCTAATTATAGTGAGTTTGGAAACTAACAAAAGTGCACATATAACAAAATAAAAATTGCCCTTAAGCCTACCACCCAGAGAAGACAATGGTTAACATTTTGGAGTTAACTAAATGTCATTTCCTTTTACCCCATACAAAAAAGTATGTTTACAAATTTAGGATTGCATAGCTCTCATACTGTTTTGTAAACTACTTCAGACTTAGTAAAAATTATGAAAATGATTTCAAGTAATTAAGTACCTTACACTGTGCACTTAGCAGATTTATTCTATTCCATATTATGTGCACCACACATAACATAATATGTCTTGAAGCCTTTTATTTTACAGGTAGAGACTGAGGCTCACAGAGGAGTAGTCATTTTTCCAAAGTCACACAGCTCATTTGTGTCGGAGCCAGGATGAAAACTCATATCTTAGGCACCAAATTCAGCACGTTCATTATAGCACATTTGACCCCGAATTTTTAGTTTATTATTAGTTCCCAATTGCTTCTATGACACTCATAATAAACCATTCAGCTTGAATTTATCTTTTATTCTGTTGTCATAATAATGACTGTACTCATTAAATGCTAATTTTATGCCATACTCTAATAACCACTTTACACATTCTGCCTACTAAGATAGTATTATCCCCATTCTAGAAAAAAAAAATCCAAGACTGAGATGTTAAATAATTTAACTTAACTAGCTAGCGAACAGTGAAGACTAGCTATCAATACAGATCTCAGTGATATTTTTCAGTGGCTACAATGCCCTCCTCTATGTACCTACTTATAATTGCTTGCCCGTAAGGTCCTAAAGGATAAAAATAATGCCTTATTCATCTATGAACCTGCAGGGCCTAGTAAAAGCCCTGAATGTAATGTGTATTGCATGGATACATGGATGCATTCACGAAGGTCATGTGATGTTGGACAAATGCTATTTGGCTTTGACCCTACATGTAGGTTATTTCCTGGTTGTTCATTCCTCCTATCGACCCTGCTCTTTCATGCGGACTAATGCAATAGCTAGAACTGGTTCAATAATTTGTGGACTCACTGTAAAATGAAAATGCAGGGGTTTCTTGAAATTTCTTTTT